ACGTGTGCAGGTCCGCGCCGGCGGCCAGGCCCCTCCCGACCCGGGCTTCTGGGAGAGGGCACCTCCGGGGGTCGTGGCACACAGTGCAGAGTGAGGATACATGCCCACTTTCGTATGATGATTGCATAAAACTGGCCTGGCGGTAGGGGAAGCAGGTTATAACTGGCCCAGTGTCTCATGGAATGTTTTCCTTGTCCCTGGCTTGCGTGTTTCCTCCAATAGCCTGTTCATGTCATCAGCAGCAAATAAGTCCTGAGCACGTGTGAAGTGCACGAGTGCAAGATGCACAGTTCACCCCCTGGAAGCGACTGCCACCTTCCTCTTCCTCTGCTGGGTGGTTTTTTGTTTGTTTGTTTTATTTGTTTTCTAGAAAGGATACAACAGATTACAGAGGAATTGCAAAGTTAGGCTCTTTGACTTCTCATTATGGGGGGTGTTGAGGGGAAAAGGGAAAAAACTCTGATACACGCTAATGAAGTCCTAAAATTTAAGCAAAACAGTTATCTCCTGCATTGTGAGTGCTATTAGGTCATGAACGGATCACGAGTGGGCTTGCAAGATACCAGCATGGCCGGCAACTTTATCTCCAAGTTGTGGTTTACAGGGGCAACTTTTGGGGGCTCACGTCCTCGGATTTTGTTTTTATATTAAAATGTCCCTAGTGTGGTTAAGGGGTCAAGTTGGCCTTGTTTACAAGTATCCCTTTCAACTTTCACAAGAAAATGTGTTCCTTTAATACCATCGTTCCTGCTGTTGACAACCTAATTTCTGCTAAGGTCCTCTCTTGTGGAAATAGCAAGATTATAAATTAGTGACTTTCAGATGCATTGCTGACGTGATCTAACTCTGCAGTTTCATTTAAAATGGAACTGCTTGCCAGGGGACGTTCTACAGTGGGCCTGCTCAGTACCCTGATAGAGGAGTGGAGGAATGAGCAGGCTGCTCTCCTGGCATTAGACAATTGAATAGGACCTGCTGGGGGAGAAACTGGAAGGCGGTTGCTGAACAGGCATTGGTATGTTTTTGCTCTTTGTTGCCTGAAAGCCCTTCTCTACATCTGCTCTTTGGTTATAGTAATTAGTGTAGTAGTTCCCATGCACATGACAGAATTTCTCTAATTAGTATAGTGGTTCCTGTGCGTCTGACAAGATTTTCTGTTTCTTAGACAGGTATTCACTTCTCATAAACCAAGACGTAGGAAACACGTTGTAAATGATGGCGGCAGCAGTTTATATAGGGTAGGCTTTGCAGGTCCTGTTAATTAGACTCCTCACCTTGCTCAGACTTGCTCAGGTTGCATTTGTTCTAAGACAGGAAATTACAGTAAGGATGCAAATAATGGAGACAGGAAAGTTTCTTCATTGCTCTACATAGCCATTGGAATGTCAGGAATTGGAAGGTTTATTCCGGATGCCCTAGAGACTGGGTTATCTCATCCCTCGCCCGCCTTTACTTACCCTGTCATTATGGTGATGCTACCGCTCTGATGTTTCTGGCCAAGTAACTCCCTCTGTGTTTCTCCCTGCCTCTTGGCTTCTGCTGCCTTATGGCTTCCACTTACTGCTGTTCCCACCGTGTCTGGTTTCAGGATCTGTGAATGCTTGTGAAAAGACCTCATTTATGTTCCTGCGGCAAGAGTTGCCTGTTAGATTGGCAAATATAATGAAAGAAATAAGTCTTCTCCCAGATAATCTTCTCAGGACGCCATCAGTTCAGCTGGTACAAAGCTGGTAAGAGTCCCGTGTTTGCAATTTCAGTGGGGTTGTGGACTAAACTCAAGTTAAAGCAAATAAATCCTTTTTTTCTTTTTTCTTTTTTTTTACTTTTTAGTAGAATCTTAAGGTTGCTCTTTAGTAGAGTCCTGGTGCTACCACTCCTTGGTTTTGAGAAAAACAATCAGAACTGCACAGAAATGCAGACACTAAGCTTAAGATTTATGTTATTCAGTCTGCAGGGATGTTATAATCATATATGCCATTTGTTGAAGTGAGGAATTTATGTACAGCACCTTTAAACCTTTCCACACCCTGCCGAGTAGTCATTATTATCTCCATTTTACAGATGACGAAACAGGTTCCAACAGATGAAGTTTTTTTTTTGTGGTTTTTTTTTTGCCTAGTACTGGAACTGGGATTCAAACCTGGATTTCTTTGTTTCTACTATACTGTGCTGCAGCCAGAAAGATGAAATGTATTAAAAAGTGCATATATTATTATAAACTGAATTTATTTTATTGAAGTATATGTCACACAAGTTAAAATCTTTTTTATTTAAAAAACAATTAGAAGTTATTGGAATCGTATAGAAACTGATCTCTCTTCCAAAAAATGACAGAAGAGTTATGAAGGGTGTACACCATACGTGGCCACCTACATACATTCTTCCTTGTTAATGTTATTAACTTAATAGTTCTCTTAATCACTGAACGTTTCAAACAAAAGAGTCTGTCAGAGTTCAGTTTAATTGGAAAAAAAATTTAGCTGCAAGACATTTCCCAATAATGATTCATGGAGATCCTTGCTTTCCTTTGGTAGGCAGTACAGTTTGTGCAAGAAGCTGATCTAACATCAATTTAAAATAATAAGTGAAAGAGAAGATACTTTTCTCTGGAAGCTTATTCCTGTGTGTTTTTTTTAAATTCTTCATTAAAAAATAGCATATGTTGCAATTTAAAATCTGATCTGTGCCTAACATGTTGTGAGTATTCAGATCTCTCTTGAATAAAAGAGCACAGTTTTTCTTGACAATGAAGAGAAAATTAATAGTTAAAGGAAACCTGCCGGTATCAGAGTCACTTAACTCTGGAATGTAGAGAGGCAAGTTGTTTGTCAACAACAGCTTTCCAAACCAACATATGGATTTGCAGATTTTAAAAACACTTTAATTCCCTCCTCCCCACTCCTCTCCCCACGTCTGCTGAGTTAGGGCAGTTAAACAGACCTTATACTCATGAAGGTCATTGAATGATAACAGGCTATTTTAGCTCTGGCCCTGCACTGCCTTTGTGCTTGGTGGTATGACCTTGAGAAAGTCATTTGGACTTCCTTTATTTGGCTCCTTCCTTAACAGGTAATTTACTACCTTGAGATGTTAGATAAATTAAAACCTACATTCTCATGACTTTTGTTTTTGTTCAGTTCTGTTTAAAAGAACTAGGTGGTATAAATTGTAGGCTTTTAACAAATATTTGTTGATTGGACATGGACATCTAAAATTAAGGTTTAAAACACAGACCTTTAAGTTAGACTCTTAGGCCAAGATAGACTGGGCTCTGCATTTAACTGAGGCTAAGACAAGGCATTTGCCCATGATCACATAGTTATTGGTTATAAACACAGTTCTCATGACAATCATCATTTATACTGTAATTTACAGTGGTAAGTTTAGGAAGTTTAAAAGCTATTTCAGCTCGGCTGGTGTGGCTCAGTGGTTGAGTGTCAACCCATGAACCAAGAATCACTAGTTCGATTCCTAGTTTGATTCCATGTTGGGTTTGCAGGCTCGATCCCCAGTAGGGGGCATGTAGGAGGCAGCTGATTGATGTTCCTCTCTCATTGCTGTTTCTATCTCTCTATCCCTCTCCGTCTCTCTCTGAAAAAATGAATAAAAAAATTAAAGAAGCTCTTTATTAAAGATAGCTATTTTAGAGTATAGAAGTTTAAAAAAATAGAAGAGGTAGGAAATCTTAGTTCTTCAGTCAAATGTAACCTATGCTTTTAGGAGAAAATGTGCACATCCTGCTAGTTTGTGCCAGGAACTTTGCTCAAATGTGATTATGTATAAAAATCCCACTTCAACCATAATTTAGAGCACTATACTAAATTAAAAAATAAATGTTAAAAATCCCTTTTGAGCATTTTCACAATATTGAACTCTCAAAGTGTGAAAGAACAAGTTTACCCTGTTGATTTGTATTTTAGGTATATCCAGAGTCTTCAGGAACTTCTTGATTTTAAGGACAAAAGTGCTGAAGATGCTAAAGCTATTTATGAGTAAGTATACTATCTTGACCTAATTCTGAACATAATTTTTGTACCCTTTAAACATCATATAAAAATATAAATTGATTAACTTTTAGTTTCCCACTGTAGTGGAACATGTGGCAGTATATTTATCTAAAGCAGCCCACACGGGCAAGGCAAGTAACATAAAGTACTGGGAACAAGAAATGCTTCACGCTCCTCTGATCTCTAGTGTAAGAAAAAACACAGCTCAAGTGTGGTGGTCAACAGATATCTAGATGTGGCCTCGGTGCTGCCTGATGGAAGGTGAGGACTTTTCACCTGGAGAGCGCATGTATGTAAGACAGCCACCCTCAGCTCCAGCCCACCATTGCCATACCAAAATGCCACCCAGATCATTTAAGGTTTTTGTGTGTTTAAAGAAAAGTCACAAGTCTAGATTTTTTTGTTAATCTTCCCCTGATGATATTTTTTCCATTGATTCTTAGAGAGAGTGGTGGAAGAGAGGGATGGGAGTGGGAGGGGAGAGAGAGAGAGAGAGAGAGAGAGAGAGAGAGAGAGAGATGAGAGACACTTTTTTTGGTTGCCTCCCGCATACTCCGGACTGGGCTGGGAATCAAACCTGCAACTCAGGTATGTGTCTTTGCCTGGTAATCGAACCAGCAACACTTCGGGGCATGGGCCAGTGCTCTAACTACGGAGCCACACCAGGCACACATCTAGATTTTTAATGTAAAATCTCCCAATTTTGAATGATAGACAACTAATTAAAAATTTTTAAAAATACTGAAGGCCTTCAAAAAATGTCTGTGGGTCTCTGGTTTATGACCTGTTGTCTGTAAGATAATGTAAGTAATATGACCAACATATCAGAACGGGCAAACCCAAGTAGTCCCCTCAGGCAGTTACCTGCTTATTCCAATGACTGTTGGTCAAAAGTTGGAGACCACCTCTTTTGTTGTCCTCAGTCTTTAATACATTTCCTTTGACTGTCTGTAAAGGTGATGGCAACACTTCATTTTTAAAGCTTCAGTTTTATGATTTTGGTCTGAAAATAACATCAGGATGTACTCTGTGCCTACTTATGGAGCACATTTTGCATGAATGATATTTAATCTTTAAAGCAAGTTAGTTGAGATACTACTTTCTGTGCAAAGACATTAATTTAAGGTAGCATAAAGGTCAAATAGCTAGCAAATGGTGGGGCCCAGATTTGGACACAGGTAGTCTTAAAAGTAAACATTATGTTACTTTTATGTTACATGGATTATGTTATTGAACCTTCTGGAAACAGTCATTCAGAGGAGTTAAGCGGAATAATACTGTTTTGTATTTTAAAAAAGGAGAGAAAGATGATGCCCTAGTCAGTTGCTCAGTGGTTAGAGCATCAGCCCATGGACTGAAGGGTCTCTGGTTTGATTCCTGGCCAAAGGCACAAACCTCCGTTGAAGGTTCAATCCCTAGCCCCAGTCTGGGCATGAGCAGGAGGCAACCAATCACTGTGTTTCTCTCACATCAGTGTTTCTCTCTCTCTCTCTCCCTTCCCATCCTCTCTCCCCTTTCTACTCTCTCTAAAAAAATCAATGGAGAATGTATCCTTAGGTGAGGATTAAAAAAAAAAAATAAAGAGGGAAAGGTGAAATAAACTAATAAAGGGGTGACTAGAAGTGATGAGATGTTTGCTGTTTTTGAGGAGTTTTCTTGTTTGTATTTTGGATTAACAGTTTCGCTTTGAAGCTAATTACAAACTAGGAATTTCAAAAGTGTTTTGAGTTGTGAGAGCATCATTGGAATCAGTTAATAGTACTCAAGATGATGACTTTGAATGTTTCTCATTCGAAAGTGTAAATTCTGATGGGTATGTTACAAAATGGATTTTATTACTTCCTAATTAAGACTCTTTTTCTCTTTTATTTAGTTCTTTAAATTATCCATGCAAGAATGTCTTCTAAACGACAGAAATGGGAAGGCCAGATGATTTGAAAATTTTTCTTTTCACATAACAGTTGACTTTTCCTCTCCCATTTTTAAACTTATAGGATGAGTGAAATTAGAATTCTTTCCTACTTTTCTGTTCTAAGGGGTTCTTTCTCTCTTTGAGCCCCAGGGACTAGTTCCAAAGCAGACAGGCTTTATTGGCTCATTCATCTTCATTCCTTACAGAGCATGTGTTCCCTAGAAGCAAGTGCTCTGTCTTCTCTTAGACTGAATGTCCCTGAATACTGTCCTCATAGCGAGTGCTCAGATGACCCCAGCTGACAATGGTTAAAGGAAAACCATAGTATTTTTAGGATTATGTTTTGTTGCAGCCTTACTTTTAAGACTTTCAAGAAATTTCAAACGTTTTATTTTGGAGGTTCTTACACTGTCACAGACTCAGTGTATTTAATGATCTGAAATATATTTACAGAAGTGTAGGACAGCATGCACTGAGGCTTCTTTTGCTGAATTAGGGATTGCTTGCCTAGTGTAGTTGGTTAAACTTAGACTTTAGTATTAAATTCACTTGTCAAAATACTTGGCTGTATTGAGAGACAGGTTTGTTTAGCTTTACAGATACCGTGATACGGATCAGGAACCGACACAATGACGTGATTCCCACCATGGCTCAGGGTGTGATTGAATACAAGGAGAGCTTCGGGGTGGATCCCGTCACCAGCCAGAATGTTCAGTACTTTTTGGATCGCTTCTTCATGAGTCGAATTTCAATTAGAATGTTACTCAATCAGCACTGTAAGTGTCTGGAAGTCAAGAAAAGAAGCTAAATAAAGTATATTGATATATTTTAAATTATTTAGAAAACTTCCCTTTAAGGAAAATGTTTAATTTTACTTTTTTATGTATTAAGAAAAGTAAATAGACTGCTATACAAAGGAGGTGTTTTTATTGAATGTAAAAATACTGTGTTTATGTTTAAGAAAAATGTTTGTTCTATTGTTCAAGTACCACTTAGAGAAACAGTTTTCAAATCTGGAAATGGGCTTTGGATATTTTAGTTTGTTTTATTTGTCTCTGATGTTTCATTTCTTAACAGCCTTATTGTTTGGTGGGAAAGACAAAGGAAGCCCATCTCACCGGAAACACATTGGAAGCATAAACCCAAACTGCAATGTAGTTGAAGTTATTCAAGGTAAATACTTACATTTCTCCTTTCAGAAAGGATGTAGGAATCAAAATTGTTGAGTGCTAGTTCTCGATATTAAAACAGCTACTTATATCCTGAGGTAAAAATGTTAGGAGTGAATATATGGGTTTGCAAATAACTTTATAATGTTAATTGTGCTTTATGTACAGGATATTTGTTTATCCGATGCTCTGTTAGGTAAAGTATGGTGATACTGTGTGGGTATCTGTTTCACTTCAAAAATGTTAATCCTCTTTCCCCTTTCTAATTCTCTGTCTAGGAGCCATAATTTATAATTGGTTTGCATCTTTCCACACTTTTTTCTGTTTATACCACATACTAGAGGCCACTTGGCCTGGCCTGTGCCCTCTGGCAATCCGGGACCCCTTGGGGGATGTTGCATAGCTAGTTTCGGCCTGATCCCCACTGGCCAATTTCAAAAATGTTAATCCTCTTTCCCCTTTCTAATTCTCTGTCTAGGAGCCATAATTTATAATTGGTTTGCATCTTTCCACACTTTTTTCTGTTTATACCACATACTAGAGGCCACTTGGCTTGGCCTGTGCCCTCTGGCAATCCGGGACCCCTTGGGGGATGTTGGATAGCTAGTTTCGGCCTGATCCCCACTGGCCCATTCAGACAGGAGGGAGCCCCATCCTGTGTGTTGAGCGACTGTCCCCTGGTGGTCAGTGTGCGTCATAGCGACTGGTTGACCAGTCCTTCGGTTGTTCGGTCTCTTAGGCTTTTATATATATAGATGTGGGTTTTGCTTCTTGTTTTTTTGGTATAGTATCTGTCATTTCTCCTTTATGGCTATTAGGCTTTGTCTGTCATATTTAAAAACTAAGATTTTTTTAAAGTATATTTTCTTCTATAAAAAAAGTTTGAAAATTTCATTTGTCAGTCCTATTGCCACCTTAATGCATGAAACAGATGTAAATTTATTTAATGCTTTTTTGTTGTTGTTTTGATTCACACTAGATGGCTATGAAAGTGCTAGGCGTCTTTGTGATCTGTATTATATTAACTCTCCTGAACTAGAGCTTGAAGAACTAAATGGTAAGCCTGATGCTTTCTATTCCTCAATTATCACTGTTTTGATGACTTGAGAAGGAATGATAAGGATAATTTAGATTTTTTTTAATATAAAAGGACTTTTCATCAACTTCATTCTATAGCTGAGTGAGAGCAATCATGTTAAAACATATTTGTGTGTGTGTGTGTGTGTGTGTGTGTGTATGTATTTAATATAGTTCGGTTCTTTCTGAAAGACATTTTGGTCTTCCCCATTAAAAATTTTTTTAATTGATAATGTTGATTCTTTACTTATTTTTGGTTTTCTGGTTAGAAAAAATGGTGCCAAGAAAATTCCATTTGACTTTTATATGCACTTCAATAATGTAAGGTTTACCCTAGAGCCGTGGTCGGCAAACTTTGGCTCGCGAACCACTTGCGGCTCTTTGGCTCCTTGAGTGAGGCTCTTTCTAAGCCTTAGGAGTACCCCTAATTAAGTTAATAACAATGTACCTACCTATATAGTTTAAGTTTAAGAAATTTGGCTCTCAAAAGAAATTTCAGTCGTTGTATTGTTGATATTTGGCTTTGTTGACTAATGAGTTTGCCAACCACTGCCCTAGAGTATTTCTACTTCCTGAGTTGTAAATCACTATTTACTGTTGAGGAAGTAGAAAGACTAGAGGTGTAAAGAAGAAATAAAGACGCTCATTTATTTGAGAATCTGTTTATCTCTAATGGTCTTTTCTTCACCCGACAGTGCCTTTTGGAAAAAAAAAAAAAAGGTTTAGGTGCCTTGGAAGGAGATTTCTGAGTCTTACTGTTTTCCTAGAGGTAGGGTAGTTTAAAAGGGGGAAAACATTTCCTAAGTTAACATGACCCTTTGAGAAGAATAAAATTAAACAGTTTTTACTAAGTTGTATTCTGGACAGCAGTGGACGTTACCCAATTGAAAATAGAATTGTTTGGTGTTTTTCTAAAGCCATATTCATGCTTTTGGTCCATAATGGTACATTTAGTAAATAAGAACCACAATGCACCAGTGATAGTTTGGGAACCTGAGCTACTCTGGACAGTTTCCAGGTGTCCCACCCATGTTTCCAATGGGTATTTTATTCAAAGGGAATCCAGTGTGTTGGCTACTCTAGAATCCTAGGGCGTGGTGAGCCTTATTCCTTTGCTCAGCCCACGGTTCTGTTTTACACACTATCTGCCCACCAGGCTCACCTGGGCACCTATTAAATGGTTGAATGGAAAATCAGCATCCCTGGATCAACTGATGCTAGCTTAATTTTTTGTCTTCAGATTTATATCCATGGAAATGCCTGAAATAAAACAGGAAACAATCCACCTGGGTGAAACATTTTAAAAAATAGTTTAAAAAGAGAATGCATTTATGTAAGTTGGGCCATGGAATTTATAGACTGTAACACTTTTTTTTGGAGAGTAAGATTTGGACCTTAAGGTTGAGTGTCCTTTAAAAAGATTGGCCGTCATAGAGAAGAATAGGAAGAAGGGTTGGTTTATGCAGGACTCACGTTGTCACTGTCAGGTATTAATCTAAGTGAGCATGGGGTTCAAACACTAATACAGTGAAGAACTGGTGTGGCACTTCTCCCCCAAGTGATGCTATCCTCCATAGTAAATGTTTTCTTTTCATTACTACACAATATATTCTTTAAAATGCTTTAAGCACATCTCTCTGTACTTTTATATTTTTCTCTTCTGCTCTGTAGCAAAATCACCAGGACAGCCAATACAAGTGGTTTATGTACCATCCCACCTCTATCACATGGTGTTTGAACTTTTCAAGGTTTGTAAAATAGTATTACATAACCTATATCAGTCCTTTCCTGAGGTTAGGAATCTGCTCTGAAAGTTAAATACTCTACCGGGTTTTCTTCAGTTTAATTAAAAGATGTCATATCATGTTCAGCGTCATGTCACATTCCTGGAGATCAGCCTTTTGACAGCGCTGATGGGCACCTCAGTGTGGTGGTAAGCTCAGCCTGGGGAGGTAGAAAGACCTGGGGTTCAATTCCAGTTCTGCCACTTAATTATGTGTGTGACCTCGGCCAAGTCGCTCAACCTTTCTGAGCCCCTGTTTCCTCTTCTGGAAAACAAGGGTATTACTATCCAGGTTAATATGAAGATTGGAGACAACATACTAAATGTCCAGTACAATGTCAGCACAGTGTAGGTGCTCCTAAAGGTTCTATTTTTAAAAATAACAAATACTTAGAAGAATGATTCTTAACTTTCCACCCTTAAAGGACCAGAGTCCTACTGCTGTATGCTTTTTTTTTTTTTGAGAAAGTCATTTATATTGATGTACAGGGCTTCTGCTGTTATATTTGCTCCTTACAACAAATTTTGAAAACTAAAAATTATGCTAGTAATGTTGAGAATACATTTTTCCCCCAATAACACTTGCTGGTGGGCAGGAAAGTGGGTGATGAGAAGTGGTACGGGCCCCTGAGGCTGACAGTGGCACCCTAAGTCAAGCCTGTAGTCTCTCTTACTTTAGTTACCTTGTCTTCAGCCAACAGCAAATTAGAAGAGGGAAGATGTGGCTTTCAGCCTCATATGGAAAATATACTGAAACAGAAAAACTGATGGAATAATAATAATGTCTTAGAACAGCAAGGGTTCAAGAGTGCTCTTTTGTTCTAAGACAGCAAGAAAATATCCTTCTAAAAATCTTTCAGAGTGATTAAAGAAATGATTGGCACTTAAAGGATTAAAACTAATTTTTCCCTTGAAATTTCAGAACATAAAGATCTTGTTCCCCATGATGCTTAATAAAAGAAGTACTACCATATTATATAAGCGAGTTTATATAATGTCAGTATAATAGCTTCCTTATGGAACCTGATCTTAAATGGCCTTCAGTAGAGATGATAGAATCTGTTCCTTAGGGAGATACAATATGGATTGGTGTGCCCGGTCACACTTTTTCCAAAGTCAGTCCCGTCTTTTGCCTTTTTGGCTTTATCGAGTCTTACCAATTTCTCCTCCAGTGCTACACGCCATGTCGCCATTTAGTGCTTATGACATGTTGGCAGTTTGTACGCTGTATCCTTTAAAAATTGTTCCAAACAGTTTTACATGTAAATGTCCTTAGTTTCAAACTAATGGTAAATTGGATTAGTTTATATCATTATAAGACCATTGCTGTAAATAGTATATGAAAACTTTTTTTTCTTAAAGCAATTAGTGATAAAATGTTTCTTATAAAAATAAATGAAAGTTTTCAAAAAATAAGATTTGTCTGTTATCTATTAAATTGTAAAAACATTTGGGTAGAGTTTTCTGCTTTAATGTAAACTAGTTTAAAGTGTTAAAACATCTGGTTTTGAAAAATCTACAGAATTTAGTTGAAATCTTTAAATCAAAATGTCTGACTTCATGATTTTTTTTAAGTAATTCTTTAAATATGGTTCTAAGAATAATGATTCATTGGCATATTTCCATCGAATTAAAACTTTTAAAATTTCAAGTAGCATATTAGTTGAAAATTATAATTACTTTATCTGTTTTTTAAAAGTTGTATTTTAAATATAAACTTAATGTATTTCAGAATGCAATGAGAGCAACCATGGAATACCATGCTGACAAAGGTGTTTATCCACCTGTTCAAGTCCACGTCACACTGGGTAGTGAGGATTTGACTGTGAAGGTAAATGCTTTTTCTTTTATTTTTTTAAGTTGATATACAGGCATGCACATAATTTCTAGAAGGCATAGTTTATTATTAGGAGAAATAAATCCTATCCCTTATACCTAATAAGCACATTGCTTCATTTTTCTGACAGATTATGGAATTATCCCTTGAGTCTATTCCTGTTCTGGTCCCTAATTCAGATGATTCAAGTTAAAGTAAATCCTTGAGACAGACAGCTTAGCAGTGATCATGAATATCCACTTTGATAAATCTAAAATATTTGGATATTTGCAGTGTTATGCAGATAGTAAATTTTTCATTTAAAAATATGTTTTTATTGATTTCAGAGATAGGAAGGAAAAGGGAGAGAGAAGTCTTCTCCCTTTTTTGGGGGTCAGTCTGGCTAAAAGTTGTAAATTTTGTTAATCTTTTTCAAAAAGCTAATTCTTTATTTTGTTGATTTTTCTCCACTGTTTCCAACTCTGTATTTCATTAATTTCAACTCTAATCTTTCTTATTTTCTTCTTTTTGCTTACTTTGGAGTTAGTTTGCTCCTTTTTTAGTTTCTTAGGATGAAAGTTTGGATTATTGATTTGAGACATTTTACAGCTAAAATGTCCCTCTAGGCCAGCGGTTCTCAACCTGTGGGTCGCGACCCCTTTTGGGGCCGAACGACCCTTTCACAGGGGTCGCCTAAGACCATTGGGGAACACATATATAATTACATATTGTTCTTGTGATTAATCACTATGCTTTAATTATGTTCAATTTGTAACAATGAAAATACATCCTGCATATCAGATATTTACATTACGATTCATAACAGTAGCAAAATTATAGTTATGAAGTAGCAATGACAATAATTTTATGGTTGGGGGTCACCACAACATGAGGAACTGTATTAAAGGGTTGCAGCATTAGGAAGGTTGAGAACCACTGCTCTAGGCACTCCTGTGTATCCCATACATTTTTTATGTTGTGTTTTCATTTTCATTCATCTCAAAATATTTTCTGATTTCCTTGTGATTTCTTCTTTGACCCATTGGTTATTTAGTAGTGTGTGTTAATTTGCATATGCTTGTTAATTTCCCTCATTTTGTTCTGTTATTAATTTCTAATTTTATTGCTTTTTAGCCAGAAATACAGTTGTATGATTTTAATCCTTTTACATTTATTGAGACTTGTTTTATGGCCCAACAAATGCTCTATCCTGGAAAGTGTTCCATGTGTACTTGAGAAAAATGTACATTCTGCTGTTGTTACATGGAATGTTCCATAGATAGTCGTTAGGTCTTGTTGGTGTATAGTCTTGTTTAAATCTTCTATTTTCTGTTCTTCTGTTGTCATAGCCATTATCAAAATTGGTACATTGAAGTCTCCAACTATTATTTTGAATGGCCTATTTTAATTACTGTTAAAATAGGATTTGTTTGCCATTTTGTCATATGTAGTCTCTGTATCTTATATCTCTTTTGATTCTGTATTTCTCCATTCCTGATGTATTTTCTGTTAAATGTTTTCTGATGAACCATTTTAATTTTCTCCTTGTTTATTTTTAAAAAATATGTTTTTATTAATTTGAGAGAGAAAGGAAGGGAGAGGAAGAGAGATAGAAACATCAATGATACAGAAACATTTAATCGGCTGTCTCCTGCATCCACCCTACTGGGGATCGAGCCCACAACCCAGGCATATGCCCTGACCAGGTATCGACCTGGCAACCTCTTGGTACGTGGGTTGATGCTTAATCCACTGGGCCACACCAGCTGGGCATGCAATTATCTTTTAAATAAGATAGGAGAAAAAATTTACAAACAGCGAACCGGTTTGGCTCAGTGGATAGAGCGTCGGCCTGCGGACTCAAGGGTCCCAGGTTGGATTCCGGTCAAGGGCCTGTACCTTGGTTGCGGGCACATCCCCACTGCAGGGCGTGCAGGAGGCAGCTGATCGATCTCGCTCATCGATGTTTCTAACTCTCTATCCCTCTCCCTTCTTCTCTGTAAAAAATCAATAAAATATATTTAAAAAAAATATTTACAAACAAAAAATACACTTATACTATCCTTTATATTTACCTATATAGTTACTTTTCCAGGTAAATATATGGTATTTATTTCTTCACGTGAATTTTATATACTGTCTAGTATTCTTTCATTTCAGGCTGAAGCATCCCCTTTAATGTTTTATGATAGGGCAGGTCTACCAATGGTGAACTCTCTCAATGTTTGCTTATGTGAGAACTAGAGGCCCGGTGCATGAAATTTGTGCACAAGTAGGGTCCCTAGGCCTGGCCAGCGATCAGGGCTGATCGGGCCTTATGGCTGCCAGCCAGGGTCTTCCTTCCCCAGCTGCCGACTGCCAGCTGCGTTTTTTTTTTTCACTCTGCTCCATCCCCTGGTGGTCAGTGCACATCATAGCCAGCGACCAGTCTCCGGGTCGAACTCCTGTGGGGACACTTTGCATAATAGCCTTTTACATATATAGACTAGAGGCCTGGTGCACCGATTTGTGCACTGGTGGGGTCCCTCGGCCTGGCCTGTGCCCTCTCGCAATCCGGGACCCCTTGGGGGATGTCAGAGAGCCAGATTTGGCCTGATCCCTGCAGGCCAGGCTGAGGGAACCCAGGCCTCTAATATGCAAATAAGATCTTTGGTTAATCTCTTTCCACCTTCCCCCCTCCCCCCTTCCCTCTGAGATTCATTAGTCTGTTCCATGTTTCCATGCCTGTACGTTGAGTGTCTGCACCCTGGTGGTCATTGCACGTCATAGCTACCAGCCGGTCAGCTGGTCAGCCGGTCGCTTAGGCTTTTATATGTATAGATAAATGTCTAATTTTTTCTTCATTTTTGAAGGATAATTTTGCTGTATATAGACTTCTTAGTTGTTAGTCTTTTTCTTTCAGCACTATGAATATGTTAACCCTGCTTAACCTTAGGTCCTGCTTATACAGAAATTCAAGGTCAGTCAGAGGTGAAAGCTTAGGGATCTGTTCAGGTTTTTCCTGAGCACGAGCATAGCCCTAGGCATTAAGATGACCTTCTGGATTCTCAGGACATGTCTGAGCTTTTTAAACCCCTTTATATATCTCATTCCCTAGCTTCCCTTATTAAGCTTTTTGATTAGCCTATTGTTTGCCTCAGGTGGCCTAAAATTTATTATCTCTAATTTTTTTCCTGTCTTATCACTTTTTAATTTCTTTGTTTTTTAAATTAAATCTTCATTGTTGAAAGTATTACATTATGTCCTCTTTGTTCCCCCATTGACCCCTGCTAATCCCCCCTCCTTCCCTCACTCCAGGCCTTCACCACCCTGTTGTATGTGTGTGTGTCCATGGGTTATGCATATATTGATACAAATTCTTTGGTTGATCTCTTCCCACCCACCTACCCACCTCCTCCTTCCCTCTGAGATTCTACAGTCTATTCCATGCTTTTATGTCTCTTTAAAAAATTTTATTTAGTAATTTTTAGAGAGAGAGAAAGGGAGAGAGAGATTTGATGTTCCATCCATTGATTCATTTGTTGGTTGACTCCTGTATGTGCCTGACCTGCAATCTTTGGTGTCTCAGGAGGATGCTCTAATCAACTGAGCTACCTGGCCAGGGCACCTCTAATTGTTTTGGACAAATGTTTCTGATAGTGGGAAATACGTTCATGCAGTATTTTTTTGCATTGGGAGCTCAGAATCGGGTCAGAAAAATGCAGTGGCTGCTGGGCTGCTGATTGCATTCTGACTGCATAGTATTATTGTTAGGGGGGTGGGAATAAGGCAGTTAAAACACCACGGATCTCACTGTTGTTTTTCTTGACTGCATGCCCCCAAGATTGCTACAAGACTTTGGTTAATTTCCAGAGCTGAACAAAGTTGATGCTGACATTTTTTTGCCCTTTTCCTGGTGCTCTGATGGAGGAGAGAATTTTTGGAGCTCCTTTCTCCACTATTTTTGCTGACATCTTTCTTACTGTTCCTATTGAGAATACTTATGCTTATTCCAATTCCCATTTCTTTGTATGTGACCAGTCTTATTTGTAAGCTTTTACAATCATTTTTTCAGCTATATTCAGAAATTTCATAATAATGTGACTTGGTGTGGGCCTTTCTGTTGGGCTGGACCTTGATACTTTCTTCCAGTGGTCATATTTGGAGGATACTGGGCTTTGTGATATGATCCTCTCTTTTTTCATATCTTTTTTTCTCCTGTTTTTTTTTTTTTTTTAAATCTGTTTAACTTTTTATTCTACTCTGTGAGATTTCCTTGACTTTAAATTACCAGCCCTTCTGTTGACCTTTTAGTTTCACTATCTCATTATAAACTTATTTTTTAAAAGATATTTTTATTGATTTCGCAGAGGAAGGGAGAGGGAGAAAGAAGTAGAAACATCGGTGATGAGAATCATTGATCAGCTGCCTCCTGCATGCCCCCCCACCGGGGATTGAGCCCGAAACCTGGGCATGACCGGGAATCGAACTGTGCCCTCCTGGTTCATGGATTGATGCTCAACCACCGAGCCATGCCAGCTGGGCTAAACTTCTTTTTTATTATTTTTTATAGTATTCCATTTTAGTTTTATCTTCTTTAATAACTGAGGCTATTAATAATAGCCATTTTAAAAAAATTAAGTTGTCTGCTGTCTGCACTGTTACCTCTGAATTTTTTATTTATCTCTCTTGGCTATTCATTTAAAAGAAGTAGGCACAAATAAATGTATGGCTGTACGATCTGTTTGCTGAAAAAGTAATGTGAATGCGTCATGTTTTTTCCAGCCCAGATGCTAATGTGTCTATTTTTTGATTCGTTATGTGTCAGCTACTTGCCCACTAAGGTTTACTTGATTCAAAGTAAGTCCCATTTGGGCTTCAGTTATGCTGCAGCGTGATCTTTCTTGTAGCTCTCTCTGCTTCTGTTTCTTGTTGCTTTAGCACACTGGCCTGCAGATGCTTTCCATTATTGTGGTTATCATCACCACATGGATCGAGGTTTACTGAATTCCTAGACACTTAGCCACAAACTCGTTCTGTGTTGGTGGATGGACAGACTTTGCTTAGGGAATCTGTTTGGTGTAAAGAAAGGTTCATAATGACCAAGCATTTCCATTTCTAGGTCTGTATATATCCTGAAGGTTTAAATACAGATATTCAAGCAAAAACGTATACAGGGATGTTCATAGCAGTATTACTCACAATAGCCAAAATATGGGAAAAGCTCAAATGTGCATCAACTGATAAATGGACCAATAAAATGTGATACATATCCTATCTAATAATAGACAAACATGGTAATTGACTATATCTTCGCTACGCCTCCCATTGGCTAATCAGCACGATATGCAAATTAACCGCCAACAAAGATGGCTAATTTGCATACTGCAGGAAGGGCAGGCCAGCACGAGCCGCCATCCAGGTGCCCGTGTGCTACCCCAGAAGCCGCCTGCCTGCCATCTGTGTGCGCGGCCCA